AGAAAAGGCACAGGAAGAAGTCTGTTAAGTAGGGTTCTAACCCAATGATGCTGCTCAGATGACTTAGAGATGAAAAAAAGGAGGGTCCAGGCCATGGTGGAAGACTTCCTCCAGACTGGAGGAAATGCTCTACTCTCTTCTACCCACTCTACTCAGCCAAAACTGAATGTCATTGACTTGGAGATGAGTAGAAATGATGAATGTTTCAGGAGAGGCTTATGTTACATTCCAAATTCTGATGCATTTATGGTTCTGTGAATCTAATTTCACCTTCCAGTAATGGGAGCTAAGAGCTTCATTAAATAGTATTTCCTCCTGTAAATTTCAGTGGAGCAACTGCTGCTCACCCTTCTTGAATTTTTGGTCTGAGCACAGGATTCTGGATACACCAACAAGCTCTGCACCAGATCTATGGGTGCCTGTGCTCAAGGGCAGCTCCAATACATGGCTATTCTGTAACCTAGGATCAGACTGCTGTGAAAAGATCAGTGGGAGAAAAAGCTGTATGATGCCTCTTTGGGCTCTCCCTGCTTCACTCATGAGCTGTGGTTATGCTCAGCTGGTCCTTGCCTGAGTTCTGCTGCAGCTATGCCTACATGGAATCATGGAATGGCCAGGGTTGGAAGGGACCTCAAGGATCATTAATCTCCAACCCCCCTGCCACATGCAGGGCCACCAACTTCCCCATTTAATATCAGACCGGGCTGTCCAGGGCCCCATCCAACCTGGCCTTAAATACCTCTAGGGACAGGGTATCTGCAATCTCTTTGGGAAGTCTGTTCCAGCATTTCACCACTCCCATAGTAAAGAAATGGCCTCACTCCTAACTGAGCTGGGTGACCTGATTCATATGGTTTGGCCAGCCTTGCAATAAAAAACACCATTGTTATTTTTCAATTAACAGCAGCTGTGAGCATTGCAGTGCTGTTGGTGCCTGCTCCCGGTGGTGCCACATCTCCAGGGCCTGCTAGCTGTCAGCATCTTCCCACAGCTGGTGGCTTTACTGGCACTTGTGGGCTCAGACTTTCTCCTCACCACCCTCCCACTGTCCTGACTTTGTGCTGGTGCCATTTCCCCTCTTATCTCGTCCCACTAGTCATTGTTTGCACCACTTTTCAATAAGAAAACTCAGGACCAAAAACAATGGCAGTTACATGTTTATTAATTGTATCCATGTTTACACTTGCATTAATGACAGCACTGCCGACCATAGTGAGATTGTTGCCTTTCTCTGGAGGGTAACCTCAGTGGGTTGGAAGCTGCCCCCAGCCTGCAGGTGCCACGCCAGGCTCAGGCGTATAGAAAACACTGAAATCTAAAACAATATAATCACCAGAATGCTTGGAATTTACAATGCTACTTGCACAGATCATGGCATTATTTCAGTTTCTGTGTTAATTTGACACTACTTGACCACTAAGATGATCAGAGGACTGGAGAACCTCTCCTATGAAGAAAGGTTGAGGGAACTGGGCTTGCTTAGCTTGAAAAAGAGAAGGCTCCACAGGGACCTCATTGTGGCCTTCCAGTACTCGGAGCATATAAACAGGAGGGGGAATGGCTGTTTTCAAGGCTGGATTGTGATAGGACAAGGGGGAATGGTTTTAAACTGAGACAGAGGAGCTTTAGATTAGATATTAGGAGGAAGTTTTTCCACACAGAGGGTGGTGACACACTGGAACAGGTTGCCCAAGGAGGTCATGGATGCCCCATCCCTGGAGGCATTCAAGGCCAGGCTGGATGTGGCTCTGGGCAGCCTGGTCTGCTGGTTGACGACTCTGCTCATGGCAGGGGGTTGAAACTACATGATCTTTATGTCTGATCTTCAAGTCAGGCCATTCTACGATTCTATGATTCTATGACTTTGCAGTGGTAAGTACCAGAAAGATTAGAGAACGTTTGCTTCTCTTTGAGCTGTGTCTCCTACAAAAGACAATTAGTAAAAATCAGCTGAACCTGTGAAGGGGGTTCACCTCTTTTCACAGGTGAAAAGTGGGATGCTCTCAGCTGATGAGAGGACACTATTTGAAAAATACTCCTCATTTTCTGTGGCAAAAAAAAAAAAAAAACCTTTGATTTTCAGCCTCCAATTTGCTTTTCCTCTATCTTATATATCTACAGTAATAGTTGAAAATAACTGAGGATGAGTGGGTGATGGATGGCTTGTAAAGAAATGCAGTGAGACCATAGGAAACTGATGATATGCTTTCTGTGAAAGCCAAGCGACAGGACAAGAGAGGCAATTCACAAGTGCTAGAACAGCTGGCAACTCCAACCCACACCATCTGGATTTGTGTGATTTTATAATATTTATTGTCACTAACTCTGGGGGGAATATGAATAGAACTGGCTGCAAGTGGAAATGAGCTGGCTTTTCAATGGAGCGAATTGTGTGAGGAGCTTTGGCAGTAGATGTGGCAGGGCAAGCATCTGATACCAGCTGTGAATTACCACTTCACTGGTCGGGCTGAGCACATGAAACAACAACAGGAAATGTTTCAGCCAGGCAAGGAAAGCCCTGTTGCAGAGAGTGGCATTTCAGATCTATCACTTGGAGAGCAGAGGTACAGGGTTGCCAGCTCTCCATCTGCATTTGCCAACTCCCTGTCTTTAGCCTGAGTCTTGTGAGCACTGCCTTATATTTTCCTTAAAAAAAAAAAAAAAAACAACAACAACAACAAAAAAGCAAAAGCATGAAGGGATGTGAGAGTACTCAAGAATATTAAAACTGTGCTAAAACAAGTCTATTGGTGTCAATGGTTCAGAAACTTATGCGACTCACCTCTACCAAACAACAGAAAACAGAACAGCTCCTGCGTTCATTTTCTTAAATCTTCTGACTTAAATCATTTTATGGGTCTTTTTCCACAGATAATTGTGGAAGAACTGGAGTTGTCAGTGCTAAGTGTGTTCATGTATGTAGTGTGATTTCTGCTTAGGAAGCTGTTCTCTGAAGATGTCCTTTCTACTAATGCTAAAAGGAATAGTGCTGTGCCTAGCACCTCTGTCATGGTTAGAGGCTTGCCATGAGATAGGCAGAGTTTAGGCTGCTGCATTTCTGTTCTTCATCTGTGAAATGTGATAACCTCTTCTTCCTTCCTGCAGGTCAACTGAAGGATAGATTCTTCACCTTCTGATTTAATGACTCCTGTGACCTGGTAATTGTGTAAAGTTCAGCCTCTGGAGCATTAGGAACACTTAAACCTTTTAATCAAACCAGACTTAACAAGAAAGACAAACAATTGTATCTTATCTCCTTTCTCGCTTTCCTTTCCCTTTCCCTTTCCCTTTCCCTTCCCTCCCTCTTTCTTTCTTATTTCAAAGTCTGATGTGGTTTGGAACCTGACCAATTTTTGGCCATTGATTAAGGTACTGAAACAACAGAGAACCAGATGCCATAGGATATGAAACAAAAACTAGTATTTTATTCTAACAAATCACTTTATTTTCTAAACCTTTTATTCATCTTTGAGATTCAGGTTTTAATTATTTATTTTTTAAATGGAAAAACAGTTCTATATTCTAGGATTCAATCCACAGCTGAAAAGACCAGTATTTGTAGTTCATCACTTTACAAAACCTGTTGGTTCAGCTGAAGAAAAATGCAGCAAGGCATTGAGTGCCAGAGAAGATAAAGTGCCTGGCTAAGCAGCACACAAAAATGCATCTTATGTCAGGCTTGTGCAGTGCACAGTGTCTCAAAAGGGAAAGGGCAGCTGTAGAGAATGGTTCTGGCTCTTCTGTTCTTTGCTTGCAGAATCAGATAATAAAAGCAGCAGCAAGAGAAGAATGCAAAGGTGTGGCATTGGCATTAATAAGATATCCCTCTAAGAAGGCCTGTAGTGATGACAGAAATGCCTTAGACATTGAAGTCTATCCTTGTAAATAGCATGCCAAGAGGAGTTCAGCTTACTGAGAAGGAGACTTTCTTATGTAGATAGATGTGTATCATATTCTGTGCTGGAGATAAGTAAGAAATAATGACAGAAGGTCAGCTTTCCTTTCAGCAGTATGTTGTGAGCTGGTTATGCACCCACTGAAAGGGAAGGACTCAAATAGAGAAACAGCAGCTGGAGAAAGGAAATAGCCTATGAGAAGCATGCTCATTTCTTCAAACAGCCCCAGGGTAAAGCACACGTGTACTTGGGATGGTGCATCCCAGATGAGCTGCAGAGGGTATGGTGCCCTTGTGAAGTCCTGAGTGAGGTTCATGGGGGTTCAGCTGCTTAGAGCAACTGCCCTCGTGTTATCAGGTTTCAAATATGCTCTGTTGAAGTATGCGTTCCATGCAGGTATGCGTTCAGCATGCCTTTCCCAGAGTGGTGGAAGAAAGCTGGTAGTGCAGGGGCAATGGGAGAAAACCTTGTAAGGCCCTTTCAGATCTCTGTTCTTCATTATCAAGTGGTACTGGTGTTCAAGAGAGAGGATCAGTATTTTCACAGCCCAACATTGGCTTCACCTATTTTGCCAGTTTTTGTCCCTGCCTGGTGGGACCTCACTCTGGAAAAAAAATAGGAGACCCTGAAAAACAACCTAAGGAAGTGAATCTCATAGAATCATAGAATCACCAAGGTTGGAAAAGACCTAAAAGATCATCCAGTCCAACCGTTCACCTATTACCAATAGCTCCCACTAAACCATGTCCCTCAACACCACATCCAGTCTTTCCTTGAACACCCCCAGGGTCGGTGACTCCACCACCTCCCTGTGCAGTCCATTACAGTGCCTGACCACCCTTTCTGAAAAGTAATACTTCCTAATGTCCAGCATGAATCTCTCCTGCCGTAGTTTGAAACCATTCCCTCTGGTCCTATCACTAATGACACGAGAGAAGAGGCCGACCCCCAGCTCACTACACCCTCCCTTCAGGAAGTTATAGAGAGCAATGAGGTCTCCCCCGAGCCTCCTCTTCTCCAGGCTGAACATTCCCAGCTCCTTCAGCCTCTCCTCATATGGCCTATGTTCCAGACCCCTCACCAGCTTTGTTGCCCTCGTCTGAACATGTTCCAGGGCCTCAATGTCTTTCTTGCAGTGAGGGGCCCAAAACTGGAATGTCAGCTGTGCTTGCTGGGCATTGTGCTCTGAGTGCCCCATGTTTGTGCACCAGGATCTGTCCTCCCTGGCCCTTTTCCTCCATGAGTCAATATAATACTAAAGAAACTTCCTTACAATGAGTTTCTCAAGGGCAACTTGTACAGTGGTGCTTCACAAAACTGTAAATTTACTTACTTTGTATTGAGTTTGGTGACATTATGATTTGAACTATTCAGGAAAAAAAAAGTACTACTTTGGAAATGCCAATGTGTGCAGTCAGGAGTGAGCACAACAGGAACAGCAGCATCCTCTGTCTGCTCCCAGTCAGAAGTGCTCACCCAGGCAATGACTGCTGCAGCAGCTCAGCCATGCCCTGGCTCAGAGCCAGGCTGGTGACAGGCATCAGAGGACACAGGGACAAGCTGGAGGTGGCACTGGCTGTGCCAGACTTCCCAGGAGGTCTCCTGCTCTCCAACCTCAGTACCCTGGGCATGCTGAATGGGTGCCACAGTGCCACAGGAGGCTCTCATTGAAGTGAATGATCTTTATGCATCCTCAGCCATGAGACAAAGGGTCAGCACGGTCTTAAAACAAAGTTATTTGGCTGAAAATCATTGTTAGAAATCATTCACATGGGTCCCTAACACTGAAATTCTTGACATACAGAAAATTCACAGCCAGCTAGGATGCTCTCCATTCCTGCAGAAGAGTCATATCTTCTCAAGGTGTAACTGTAAAGCAGAAAAATGAAAATGTGAGCATTATATAGAACAAAGCATATAATGAGAACAACTTCTTCAGCTCCTTGGCAGCAAGATTGCATTTATTCATATTCAGCTCTTTTCTCCTTGTCCAGGCATGTCCAGAAAAAATCAATCTTATGATCTACATACCACAGGAATCTCATTTTTGAATTTGGCTCTCTGAGGGATTCTCTCTTGATCCTTCAGATCAGACAAAAGCAATTACTGTGCCTCGAAGCTTTCCCCTGCCACCAGCCTCCAATTAGTCACATCTGATAACGTTTCTTCAACATAAAAATAAGGTCATCTCTTCAGCTGCTTATGTCTGAATCATGAGACACCATGATACCTCATTCACAAAACAGCAATTCACTCTTCCCTATCAGCCCGGGGCCGTCTGCATCTAGCTTTTCAAAATCATTACCTTTTAAAAACCTTGGTATGGGCTGTAAGAATGCCACTGAGTAAATTTCTGTTTGCTTGAGATGTCTCCTGTTGTTTTGAGAAGCACACAGGCTATGCCAAGCCCTTGAATGCATGCATTTCAGCTCACAAATAAGACCATCTGAGATCAGCAGGATACTGGCATATACAAAATTGAGCCTATACTTAAGTGCTGTGAGTCCAGAACTTTCTCCTCCATGCTATTCTGATTCATTTCCTTCTTTTCAGAACTCTGAACTATTCTCTGTGTGGCTTTTTTTCTTTTGTTTGTTTTTCCTACTGTCCTTTCAATTCTGTCATGGAGAAATGTCACAGTTCTCAGTTTTCTTGTCTGATTTCAGTCAGACTTCAAAGGCAACATTTTCTTACCAACATTTGGACAAGATGAAGATCCATGCTGAGTGTGATGATGCTTGAACTTGTCATTGAAGCTCCTTCTCTCCCCCTCAGTGTATCTTTTCTCTTTAGGCAAGTAGGTTTGCTTTGAGGCTTGATGCTTGCTGGAGCCTAAGAAGTGGGGTGCAGTGGAGAAGCTGCAAGGCTTGGCAGCTCTGGGGCTGTGACACCCTGCTGGCCTTCCACAGGTGCACCACTGGTGCCAGAGGCAACATGGAGCATACCAAGACTGACTTCATGGCTCCAAGGGTGCTGACCAAGGTCTTGGCTTCCAGGTGATGTCTCCTCAGTCCTATTAGTGAGGGGAGAGACTTGAGGCAGAGTGGATGGATTCTTCAGGTCAACGACAGTTTGCATAACTGTTACCAACAACAGGATTCAGCTTCAAGACCTTTGTAGTCTCTCTGGGAATCAACAATTCCTTGGAATAGATGGGATCCACCAGCTCAAGTGGGGCAAAAATGCTTTTGCCAATACTGGTCAACCCGGCAAGGAGAAGTTTTAAATTTGGACTCATAGGAGACAGTGATGATGACATACAATCAGTTGAGGAAGTAGCTGCAAGTAAAGGGTATGAGGTGGTGTCAACAAGAGATCTCACAACCTACATAAAGAGACTTCATGATCTACATAACAAGGCAGAAAACCATCAATCCTAAGGATATGAATGTGTAAGGAAGACCCAACATAACAGCATGATGGGAGAAGTTCTTGTTCCATTTCTGTGAAATGAGATCAAATGAGTTGACCTTTATGTGAGAGAATTATTCTATGGTTCTGTGATATGAGGACAAACAAACGTAAGCAGATCTTCTTTAGTGGGAGCATGAAGGAAACTCAGCACAGATAATCCAGTCATGGTGACAGGTAGAATGACTAGATTTGTACAGCTATGTTAATTTGGTGTTATCAAAGTGTAACTTAGAGGTCCCTATCCTCATACTTTGTGGAAGGTACAGAACAACAAGAGTGTTAAGATGGCTTAAGTATATGACATGTGAAAAATATTGAACAGAGGAAAGAAGTCACCTAGATTATGCCTGTGTTGGGTCTGGCAGCAATATAGCATCAAAAATCTCCATAAACTCCTAAGGAATCAGCATATTATCTACAGCCTGAAACATGGAAAACCCCTTGTACAAAGAAGAGTTTTTTTATTGTGTTTCGACTTGCTGAAGCAAAATGAACAAAAGTGCCATAGCCTGCTACATTGACCTGAATTCTAGCCTGGATAATTGCTTTTTGCTTGTGGCAAGGAAGTGTCTATCTGGTTTACCTGTTTCCACAGATTCCTGGCAAGCTTTCATTTGCTTTCAAGTTCCTCATCACTTTGCCACAGTAGTCTTTGTCTGGGGCAGACGATCAAGGCTCTGGATGTTCAACAATAAAGCTGTAAGCACAGACAACATTAGGGAGGAAGGAAATTAGTATGCATAGACCCACTGCCTTTATAAAAATCATGTAGAAAATGTAAAGCAAAGGATTAGTAGCGTTAGATTCAAAGAAGTATATATTTTATTTTTTTCTTGGAGTAAACACTTGGTTGAGTGAAAGATGCTGTATTTTTCTACATTCCCTTCTGGTAGGCTGACCTTGGCTGGCTGTCAGATACTCAGCCCCCTGCTCTCTCACTCCCCTTTCTCAAGAAGACGGGAAGAAAACAGGATGAAAAACCTCCTGGGTCAAGACAAGGACAGGGAGATTGCTCACCAATTACTGTCCTGAGCAAAACAGACTCAACTTGAGGAAGAATAATTTTATTATTTTATCAATATTTTTGACTTTTAGGAGCACAACTTTTTTTTTTTCAAAGTTGAAAGTCATTGAAGAAGGTTTGAATTCCTATGCATTAGGCTCCAGAAAGCAGATGCACATAGACGCAATCGACTATAACATGTACACTAAACAGAATAGAAAACATTGTCATGATGGAAGTGATGTGTTTCTATCATATATATTATTTCTGACCCTTCATATGCATAATTTCTAATATATTTCTACCCTGGGGAACTGTCCTCATGGGCAAGGCTGCAGAGTGAAACTGGGAGATCTTTAAGGAAGATTTCCTCATGGAGCAAGAGCTCTCCATTTTCATGCATAGCAGTGCAGGAAATAAAAGCAAGAGACTGGCATGGCTGAACTGGGATCTGCTGGTCAAACCGAAGGGCAAGAATAAAATGTGCAGGCAGTGGAAACAGGGGCAGGTACCATGGGAAGAGTATAATGAAGCTGCAAGGCTGTGCAGGGATGGGATCAGGAAAGCCAAAGCCCAGCTTGAATTGAACTTGGAAAGGGATGCCAGGAAGAACAAGAAAGGCTTCTACAGATACCTCAACCAGAAAAGGAAAGTCCAGGAGGGCATACCCCAACTGTGAATGGCACAGGCAAGCTTGTAACAATAGACAAGGAAAAGGCTGAGATACTTAACAAATTTTTGCCTCGGTCTTCTCTAATAACTGCTCATCACACAGCCCTCAAATGTTTGGTTGGGTAGCAAGGGACTGGGGAAGCAATATTCCTCCCGCTGTAAGTGAAGATCAGGTTCATGACCACCAGAGGAACCTGAACATCCACAAATCTATGGGTCCTGATGAGATCCATCCCAGAGTCCTGAGGGAATTAGCTGATGTAGTTGCTGTAGCAGAAATGCGAAATCATGACCTGAAACAGTGATCAAGCACCTGGTGGGAAGGCAGGGCCAACTCAAAGGAGCTCAGATGCATGCAATGCAGCTGAGTGACTGGAAGGCGTGGAGCCAGGATCCACCCCTTCCCAGATGTCATTTAAGGGTTGGCAAATCCTTGCCTACCTGAGGTCTTTTGAAGGTGAGCTGTTTTTTTTCCCTTTGTTTCTGCATCTGTGGCTGCTGCACTTGGGCTTATCCCTACTTACTATAGCCTGGGATTCTGCTACTCCCTTGTCATTGCTGTGTTTTCCATTACATTTTAGCATTGCAGGTGCCAAGCTGCTCTCAATTGTGCAGATCCTCCTGGAAGCTATGCTTAGGCACACTGAAGACAGGGAGGTGAAACAGGAGAGCCAGCATGGCTTTATTGAGGACAAATCCTGCTTGACCAAACTAGTGGCCATCTATGATACTGTCCCTGCATCAGTGGACAAGGGAAGAACCACTAATGTCATCTATCTCAACTTCTGTAAGGCCTTTGACACAATATCCCACAACATCCTCTCCATGTTTGAGTGACACGGATTTGATGGATGGATTGTTCAATGAATGAAGAACAGCTGCAGGGTTGTCCAGAGAGTGGCAGTCAATGGCTCAATGTCTGGATGGAGATCAGTGATGTGGCGTCCCTCAGGGGTCAATGCTGGGACCAATACTCATCACCAATACTCATATATTCATCAGTGACATTGACAGTGGGGTTCAGTGCACCCTCAGCAAATTTGCTGATGACACCAAGCTGTGGGGTACAGCCAACACACCAGTAGGATGAGATGCCATACAGAGAGCCCTACACAGGCTTGAGCAGTGGGCTCAGGTGAATCTCACAAGGTTCAACAAATCCAAATGCAAGGTCTTGTACCTGGGCCCAGGCAACATTCACTACCAATATGAGCTAAGGGATGACAGGATTGAGCACAGCCCTGCCAAAAAGGATGTTGGGGTACTGGTGGATGAGAAGTTGGACATGAGCTAGCAGTATGTCCTCACAACCCAGAAAGCCATTTGTATCAAAAGAAGCATGGCCAGCAGGTTGAGGGACCTCCTTCTGTGCCTATACTATGCACTGGTGAGGGCTCACCTGGAGTACTGCATGCAGAGGGAGCCCTCTGTACAGGAGATGTGGGCCTGTTGGAGTGTGTCAAGAAGAGGGCCACAAAAATGATCCAAGGGATGGAGCACCTCTCCTGCGAGGATAGGCTGAGAGAGATGGGACTGTTCAGCATGGAGAAGAGAACATTCCCTGATGACCTCATAGAAGTCTTAGAGGAGGGGAGCTACAGGAAAGAAAGGGACAGACTCTTTAGCAGGGTCTCTGGTGATAGAAAAAGGGGAAATGGTTTCAAGGTTAAAGTTGATTGATTTGGTTTAGATATAAGGAAAAAGTATTTTACAGTTGAGGGTAGTGAGGCACTGGTAGGGTTTGCCCAGAGATGTGGTGGATTCCCCATCCCTGGAGACTTTCAAGGAGACACTGGACCAGGTCCTGGACATCCTGATGTAGCCGTGGATATCTCTGTTCATTGCAGGGGTGTTGGATTAGGTGAACTCCAAAAGTCCCTTCCAACTCTAAGGGTTCTATGATTCTATGTTCATTTCCTTTCTTTTTACTAGTAAAGAATTGTTTTCCTGTAAAGAGTAGAAAGTAGAATTATTTCTGTGATTTATGTCTGTGTTTTCCCTTGTATTTTGAAATTTCTTTTTAATATACTGGCAGTTGCATTCATCATCACACAAAAGCAGTCGGTGACCAACAAATGAAGAAATGGCTAAGTGATAAATTGCACAAGGTAATTGCAAATTGAGAATGGGATTCCTGCTGTTGCTCAGCATCTTCCTTGTCTGGGCTCTCTGTGACACGAGGGTGAAAATGTATGATTTCTGCCGCAGTGAAAGGGTGGAGGAGCTGTATTTGCGACAGTGCAAGTTTGAAAGGATTTTTAAAATCCAAATAAAAGCCTGAGTTTCAAACTCAGTTTTGGGACAAAGTAATGAGATACTTCATGAAATATTTCTACATGTGCTAAAGGGACACATAGTACTGGGCAACCTACTCTAGGTGTCCTGCTTGACCATCGAGTTGGACCAGATGACCTCCAGAGGTCCCTGACAACCTCAGCCATCCTGAGTTTTTGTGAAATGTAGTTGGAGGAAGCAACATTACCAGAACAGATAACATATGCTTATAGGTGACTGGGAATCCCATAGCCTAACTGAAACACTTAAATCAGCAGCAAACCTTGTAGCAACTCTTCTTACAGGATGTTGAAAAACTGGAAATGATTCAGAAAAGCCCTACATGACCACATAATACTCTGGGAAACATTCCCTGATTATACAACATACTGTTGATTTGTACTTTGTAGGGAATTTGGGTTTTGCGTTTCCTGTTCCCCTGTTCTTGTTTCTGCCCTTGTCTCCCCATTCACTCTAATTACTGTGGACACGAGAGTAGCTGGGCCTTGCTGTACACATCTACATCAAGAATTAGTTTGTAAATAAGACTCTAAAACATCATCCTGAGCTAAAGCTATAGGACTCCATAGTGTGTGTGTGTGTTTATCCTGCATTCTAAGCATGAATGTCCCTTTGAATTTACCTACAATGTGTAAAAGTGCTGTAATCAAGGTTCTCCACAAGATTAGCTTTTGCCAACCAGAAAATTTTGTATGGATGGGAAGAGAGACACCAGTCCTAGATTTCCAGCTCTTCAGTGGTCAGCTAAGGACAGAACCTGCCTGAAGCCCTGATCAACATCCTTTACAGACGCAAAGCTCAGCTCTGATGAGCACACTTGTAGGATATATTAGATGTACAGCCTGTGTTTGAGGCAGAGAATCAGTGCTTCCTCAGCAAGCCCACCTCATGGAAGAGATCTCTGGTTTACTCAGCAAGTTATCTGTCACTTGAGCAGCAGATGTGCAGCAGACCAGGTACACAGTGACTGTGGCCAGCTTGATGGGATTCTTCACGAACCTTTAACTCTGAAATCTGGAACAGAACTATGCAGGCTTATAATATAGGTATACAAAAAGTAAGTGTCAAAAGCAACAAAATAACAGTGTAAAAACCCCTGTTGAGGACTCACGCATTCAGGAGTCTGTTTTATAAAAACTAAACATGTTTCCCAAAGCATTTCAAAGCATTACATTTTTTTGTTGTTGTTTTGTGGTTTTTACAGTGTTTATGACTGTGCCTCCTGAGGATTGCTATTGGTGTGATATCACATACTGTCTTCACAAAGCATGTACAAGGTCGTATCAAAGTATCAGTTTTTAAGCTGGAGCCCTGGAGAAAACAGCTGAACAATGACTGTACTAATGGCCCCAAGTGTGACTGTAGCAATGTGATGTTTCGCTACATAAATAAATTGATGTATTTAAAATAGATCATAGCAATCATAAGGACATAGCCAATTTGTGAGTGCTATTTACCAAATAGCTAGTGACCAATTTTCCAGCCATCCTGTTTAAATTAATGAATATTTAAAGGAGAAACTAATTTGATTTCTCTAAAACCTGCCTGGTGTCATTAACGCGGTGGGGGAAAATACAAAATACATATTTGAATGCTTTGCTCTTCAAGAAAAGCCTTTCCACCACTTATGAGTGGAAGATTAAAAGATGTGAGTGATTAAAATAATATTAACACAGTTTGTATCACTCCTGTTATTTCCTAGTCAGAAATTCTAGCAAGTAAAAGATGGTTACATTCCAATTTTAATGAAACTGCTCAGGAAATAATGTACATGGTTTGTGGAAAGGCTGTAAAATGCATTTTCTTTTCACTAAACATTCATTTGGAGAGGAGGGCAACTTAGTTAAGAGTGTGGAGCGGGCTGGGCTGTCTCCCAAGTACAGTGACACTGTTACAGCCACTCTGAATGTCAACAGGCTTTGCTGTGCATAAAGACTGTAAATAATACAGAAGCAGACCCTTATCTGGGTAGAACAAAAGAAAGAAAAACCTTTTCATTTTTTTCCTAGATGAATTTCATTTACCTTTTCAACAGATTTTAAGTCTTTTGTAAAATACTCCAAAGAGGCACAGCACAGTGTGAGACTTGTAATCAGCCTAAAAAGAGTGACAGAAAGCTGGCTCATTTGGTCCCTCTCAAAAGCTTTCCTTTATTCTAACCCGTCTGTTCACAGATTAAATCACAGGCTATTTAAGTGTTTAACTCTTACAGCAGGTAGCAGGGAAAAAAAAGCACAAAGAAATTTGAACAAAGTAGCTGAAGTAAAATCTAGATTAAAATCTAGATTCAAAAGCAAATCAGGGGCATGACCCACCTGCATATACCAATTACTGTACATGCATAACCTTTTTTCTTGTTGATCCATCTGAGATCAACAAAAGACAATGCATAGATAAAAACAAACAAACAAAAAACCATCCTTAGCTTATCATGCAGGAATTAATTAATTGAGTAAAAAGAAATTTGGAGTAAAAAATTACTTGTGTATATATTTGATGGCTACCAGCAGAGAAAAGCTGATCCTGGTGTAGAGAGCTAGCAAGAAGTGCTGGAGGATTCACATGAAGCCTACCAACCTATTTGAAACAGCATATCTCCTTCCTCTGGCAGGGGCATAAGTCAGTGTCAGTACCCCTAGTCCTTTTCCTTCAGTAATTTAATGATGCCACTCCTTGACTTACACCAAAGACATTCAGCATGTGCAGCTCTTTCAGAGGTAAGCATAAAAGTATCGCAAAATACATTTGCCTCATGAACCCCTGAACACAGCATCTCTCTGGACTGTGGCTGCTCTAAGCCATGAGCAGGTGGGTTGGGTGGGAGATGTTCAAGGGAAAGAACCTGGTGAAGAAAATGCTTTTGGCTTTTCAACAAAATGGCACCCTGTCCCCTAGATTAATAGCAGAAGGGCTGCCCAGCCAACTGTCACTTTACAATAATACTTCTTGAAAAGAAGGAGAAATAACCCAGCAATTTTTACTGTCAAGGCTATGAAGAGCTGTTCTTCACACCTTGTGAATATTTTTTTTCATAGCATATTTGGGCTCCTCATATGAGATGCTGGCATATGCCTACAGCCAGCTGATGTAGATAGCGAAGACCATATTTCTGCCTCAGCAAGGGTTTTGAAGTAGAAAAGGGCTACCACTGCCAAACTCTGTGATGTTTGTGGAAGTGTTGCTGATACCAAAAGAACCAGAAGTGTGTCCTGCAAGATATGCCCTTCAGGTAAGAAGACAGCCTGCTTGTGAACCTCACAGGAGAAAAGGCAGTCAGATGTTCATGTCAGTCAACTTTGTGTCCCCAGAGAAGTGTCTGCAAGGAAAGCAGGCATCTCTGCCAATATACATATGTTTTAGATCTTATCCTCAGCCTCTTGGGACAGGTACCATCCTTCTGTTCTGCACTGGTACATTAGTTGCTCTGGTCCATGCCCGGACATTCTAGCAGAAACAAACTGAAAAATGTGAAGGCTGAAAATATCTGCAAAGATGAGAATATCTCTGCTTATCAGGGTCCTTTGTCTGAGACTTGGACAGCTGCGTTTTGCCTATCTCAGTTCCATCTGGAATTTCAATCAGATGCTTCCCTAGGGATATTTGCTTTGTCACTGCAATTCCTCTGTTCTTTCATTAAAATAGAAACAGATTTTAATTTTTAAGAAACAAATGCTGGAGCCAGTAAAACAGTCTTTCAAATACCACTTTTTCAAAACTAACTGTAACTCTTGTCCTCCACGGTTATAGAACAAGAGGGACAAGGTAATGTCTGATCCCAAACTTATATAACCTGAAGGTCTCTATACTCTCACTACGATGTTTCTGCATGTGGCTTGCACTGTATGTTCTCTGTTAGTCATGGACAGGTTTAGATAATCCTTAGCTTAAATACGATTCCCAAATCGCAAGCTCATTAATAACGATCTTAATGAAGGACTCATATTCTGCCAGTCTGAACAGGTGCCAATGGAAGTAGAAGTTGAGCCTAGATTTGCTCAGGAAGCAGTTGTGTGTTCGGTTTTTCATCCAGTTTTGATCAGCAGGGAAAAACTGTTCTTCTTGGCCTCTCTATATTGCATCAGACCACACAGGACCAGGGCACAAAATGGACTTCAACACCTCCTGGGAAACATCTCTGCCGTGCAGTTATTGGCACTCTTCAGGCAACAGTTCTGGATCATGTCAAGCAGCACGTCCCCAGACAGGTTCCCAGAGGGCAGCTTAGGCAAAGACATCCT